TAACCCTTCCTTCAAGTATCATTATAGGTGCAAGAAACTAAAACTAACTTATTTAACTTTTGCAGATGACCTGTTCTTGTTCAGCTGTGGTGATTTGAACTCCGTGAGCTATCTGAAGGATGCACTACTAAATTTCTAAGAAGTTTCTGGTATGCAAGCAAACTCAGCAAAAAGTAACATCTTCTTAGCAGCTGTCCTTGAGGAAATTCGAAGTCAAATCATTATGATGATTGGATTTCCAAAAGGCAACTTTCCAATCAAGTATCTGGGGCTGCCTTTGGTGACAACTAGACTCAAAGCTCTTCACTGTACGTCATTGATTGAGAAGATTGAGACAAGGGTTAGAAGTTGGACAAACAAGTTTCTATCTTTTGCTGATATACTACAACTGATTAAGTCAGTTCTTAACAACACACAAAATTTTTGGGCTTCCAATTTATACCTCCCCTAGCAAGTGGTTGACAAAATCGAGAAAATCATGAGAGCTTTCTGTTTCAATGGGTCAGAACAAAGGGCTACAGGAGCTAAAGTTGCTTGGGAAGATGTTTGCAAGCCAAAAGATGAAGGTGGTCTGGGTATAAGGAAAATAAGGGACTATAATAATTCTTACATGTTGAGATTCATATGGTTGTTGTTCACTGACAAAGATGGTTTGTGGGTCAAGTGGATTCATTCTTATTATCTCAAAGGCAAAAGTCTTTGGGGGGTCAGGACTCCACAATGTTGCTCATGGAACTGGCCTAATTTGTTGAAGCTAAGAACAATTTGTAGAACCCAAATTCTTCATAGCATTGGAGATGAACAAAGCACTAGCCTCTGGCACGATAACTGACATCCTCAGGGTCCCCTTCTGTTGAAATTGAGTAGTAATATTATTCAGAATTCAAATCTTCCAAGGGATGCAAAGGTTAGCAGCATTGTAAGGAATAATCTATGGCATTGGCCTCACACAGGAACCTTTGAGCTTCAGGAAATTAAACAAATCATGCCCTCCTACCAACCATGTCAACAAAGTTGGGATGTTGTTAAATGGATTCCTGCCCCCAAATGGCACTTTCTCCTCAATCTCTGGCTAGAATCAAGTGAGAGTTCATTCTCCTAAAGTGCCTTGGGTTCATTTGGTGTGGTATAGTCATGTTATTCCTAGGATGAGCTTTATTCTTTGGCTAGCCATTAGAACAAGGCTTGGCACAAAGGATAGAACTCAAGTTTATACAAACAATATGGGGATAGAATGTGTTCTATGTAAACAAGCTGATGAGATCCATTCTCATTTATTTTTTGAATGTCATTACTCTAGGAGCATATGGAGAAATTTGCTTCAGCTCACTGGTGAATAGAGACAACTTAACTCTTGGGAGCATCTGGTAAGTCATGCGATCCAAATTTGGAAGGGCAAATCCATGGTGAGTGTGTTGAGAAGACTTTGTTTGGCAGAGAGTGTGTATTTTATATAGAGGGAACGGAATAACATAATCCATCAAAACCAAGTGAGAGACTACAAGTCCTTGTTAAACCTCATTGTGCAGACAGTTAGGGACAGAATGTCTTCGGCCAAGTTCAATTCCTCTCAATTAAACATGCGATTATTTCATATATGGCAGCTTCCTAGTTCCTGCATAAGGGTCTAAGTTCTCTGATGTTCCTTCTAATCCTTTCATCACCCATGTGGAATGCAAATGGCTTTGTTCGAAATCCTTTGTTGGTTGTGCTATCCTTTCAGCCTCACTTCTGTATGATTTTTTCTGGCTTAATTGCTCGTTGGGGCTATCTGTTTGATGTCTGTTGTTGCTGGTGCTGATTTTATTGGTGTGTTGGGCTGATTTTGCTGGTGCTGATTTCATTCTCACTTCTGTACGATATTTTCTGGCTTACTTGCTCGTTGGGGTTCTCTGCTTGCTGCCTGTTGTTGCTGGTGCTGATTTTATTGGTGTGTCGGCTTGCTATGGTGTGTTGAGTTGGCGCTGAATTTTCTACTGCAAATGGCTGGATTGGTCTGCTACCATGCATTTCAATGGGAGTTTCTCTTGCTCGGGGCATCTGCTATCTTGTTGGATGAATTGAGATCATGCTTTGTTTTTGTTTACCATTGTACTCTTGTCAACAATTCTGGGGGAGATACCTTTACTTGGGGCAGCTCTTTCAGAATTGTGTTTTTAAGTCTTGACTTTTTGGATTTGATGTTTGTCTTTGAGTTCTACGTGACTTCATTGTATATTTTGAAGGTGATTATCCTTGATATTTCTGTTTTATTTAATACACTTTACCTTCCGGAAAAAAAAAACTTAACAAAATACAAACGCTTGATTCATTTATACACTGCCACCTCAATCATGTTAATTATTTCATGTTCTTTAGGTATTCTATCACTTTTTGGGATTTACAAGTCAAATGATTAGTTTGTAAAGACATTTTCTATTTTCGTGATTTGGGTGTCTCTATACCTCATAATATAAAACAGAGTAGACTTTAGTAAGTTCATCCAGCGGTTTTAAATAAACTCATTTAACAACCATCAACATTCCTATAAAAATCATTCACATTGCTGGCACGAGTTACCTCTAATAGGATCATAAACATGAAATAAAGTTCAATACATTATACAAGTTGGTGACCAATACCCTTGATTCTTTGGAGATTTTATTGTCTCTTTTTCGAACTTTTTCACAGGTTTACAAATATTGCATTTTTTTTCAACCAACCTATAAGATTTATCACTTGTGCACCAAATGGATGCGAAAATCATAAATAGTAGTTTAGAAGAAGAAATTTATGGAGCAACTCATGGGTGTGTAATTCCAAACAAAAATATAAAGTAATAAATGGGCAAAATCTTTTTTTTTTTTTGGGTAAATGGAAAAAATCTTTATATCTTCCAAAACAATGAGATGAAAAATTTGATAAAAATAATGGTATCTCAAACATATGGGTTTGCTGGTGTGATAAATCCATTTATTTCAAATGCTTGGATGATGGAATTAGCATCATTTTTTTTTTATGTTGATAACTTGCTTATATTTGGAATTAGTTTTATTGTGATCACTAACAAACTTTTGGTACAATGATATTTCTTATCTTGTGAAACCTTTGTCTTCTTGAAGTTAAGGATTCAAGCCTCTTTCTCCCCCTCCAAAAAAAAAATAGTTCTATTGTGATTGCGATCATGCATCAAATTTTGATATGAAAGATAATTGTGATGGTAGTGTTATTTCGGGAATCAATATACGTACTAAGACACAATAATTCCATTGCTTTTTATCAAAATCGCATTTTGTTGACAAAAATGCTAAGTACATTTGATTCTCATGGTGGCACACACTTGTCTTCTTTTTTATGATGCTAAAGTGCATTTGATGAAAAATAGTGGACATAGTGCAACGCAAAGTAAATATGAACAGATTGTTAGTAGTCTGATGTTTCCGATGAATTATATTCATTCTGACATTACATATGATGTTAGTAATTACCTTTCTATATCGTATATAATTATAATATTAATTATTGGAATGCAATATCTAGCTAGCCTAACGCAATAAGGAGAGGCCTAATTGATTATGGTTTATCTTTTTGTAATTATTCTATGTTAGACTATTATTGGGATACTAATTGAATTGCGGATGCAAATGAGTTAAATCCAACTAGTGGTTATGTGTTCACACTAACTGGAGGGACGGTCTATTAGAAACCATCCAAGTATAATGGGGATTACGAAATCCACCGTGTAGTCAGAGTAATTGCCTTAGAGAAGGCTTGTTCAGAAGTGGAATAACTAAGAAATTCAATATTTAATAATCCAGTTTTACCTATGAATGTACAATGTGATTATTAGGTTGTCATAGCTCAAGCTAAAAACAAATTATATAATGGAAAAAACCATCACATATGGATAGGACAAATATTGTAAGTCAGTTGATCAAGAATGTTACTTCCATTGATTATGTGAAGTCAAAGACAAATATTGTGAATCCTCTAATTAAGCTACTAGTGTGGAGACTAGAGAGCAAGACATCATGGGAATTGAGGTTGTTGCCTATTTTAGAGACTAGATACCCAACATTTATTATGGGTGATTTTACATGTAAAGTTAAAAGAAAAACGAAGTCACAAATAGTCTCAAGAGTACCATCACATATTCTTATTTTCACTTAGGTGCTGAGGTTGAATGTATAGAGTCCATCCCAATAGTATCATAACAAAACCTTTGGATTGAGAATGATTAACCTATTATTCTTAATTGACCTAGAGCCCCTAGTTAATGGGATGAAGTCGTCAACTACATCACACTTGTAAATTGATGTAATCTATATGCATGTGAACGTGGAGTCACATTTTATATGACTTGGACAAGTCGTTAAAGCACTCATCAAACCCAAAATAGGTGCACAATCTTAAATCACATATGAGAAGAAGTCTAATTAAAGAAAGTTACGGGAATGGTAAGAAGATTAAATCATACGAATTAGGTTCAAGGAATTTGACTCTATGATTATTTAAGTGAATTTCTCTCTTATCTAGGTGAGGTTAAAGCTTATGTAGTACTGCATTGCTATATGATTCTCCTTGAAGGGATAATCGAATCCCTTCCGTACTTTTCACAGCAAGTATGTGCTAATAAAATGGACACTATAAAAATTGTTGGACGTTAATTTGCGAGTACCAGTTACACCAAATTGCCTACTCCAGTTTCATTCTATAGTTGTTGAAATCATTCTCTTTCTTTATTTTGCAATTTGATCCTTCAAAGGCAAAGCATATGTGGGTTTTTTTTCTTTGATATTTGATTAAATAAATTATTCTTTATGCAAGAAATAGTTTTCCATTGTGTTTTATAATTTCCTTGAATAAAATTACACCAAAATCATATGGAATTGGTGGATGCTTTGAAAGTTTTACAAATTAACATGTATGAAAACAACCCCAGAGATAGTACTACACAGCTCAAGCAGCAGCACTTGTAAGTTGTAAGAGAGAGAGAGAGAGAGAGAGAGAGAGAGAGAGAGAGAGAGAGAGAGAGAGAGAGAGAGAGAGAGAGAGAGAGAGATGGCCTTCAGTATCCTTCAATTCCCATAACCTTGTTTAGAGCATCCCTCGAGTTCTTTTTGAAACAGCATAGCTCCTGCTTCTCGGATACACATTCGTTTTTACATTAATCTCTTCTCCAAATTCACAAGGCTTGTCTTCGTCAATCCTTCCAACAGCAACGCTCTGGCTGCGAGGCACAACATTAGCTCCGGCCATGGGCGATTGTCGTTGGCGAAGCTCCATCTCAATTTTGTTGCCCAGGTTCCGAGTCGAAGCAATCCTCATAAGTTCCCTAAAATCTTCATCGTTGCTGGCTGTGGAGTGGACGCTGAAGCTCCTAGGCAAAGTAGTGTTGACATATGGCATTGGGCCCACGACGGTGCCGTAGCTGACATGTCCGGCGCAACCCCACAGGCTTTGGATATAGAAGTCTTTGGCCCTTATCAAAACCCTTATGGGTCCTTTCAGGAATCGGCGGGTGATTGTGTTTTCTTTCCTGGCTGGCTTGGTGCTCATATTTCACTGTTGAACTTCTCTACCGTATTAAAAAGAAGTGTTGATGAAATATATGCAGAGAAAAAGAGAGAGAGAGAAGATGATCGGTAACAAAACATGCGAAGATCAATTGAAGGTATACTTTAAAGCAATGATTAAAGAATATATATAGATTAATTGGTGTGGTATGCAAAGATAGGCTTTGGAATAAGAATTTACGGGTAGTTTGAAACTTGACAGTGACATATAGCGGGCAAGAGAGAGAGAAGGGTTTCTGCAGGCCGAAGGTATATGCTTGACCGAGCAGTTGGATGGCATGGGGGTACTTTGCAAAGTCAAATTAGCAAGATTGGATTGGATTGGAGTCCAACCGAAGTGAGATAAGAATAAAACACAAAGATGATCAATATGTGTGTTAAAAAAAATGACGTAAAAAAGGACAGGTTGAAGAATAAGAATGGCCCACGTTGAATTCACCATTTGGCTAACTTCTTTTATTTATTTTGTTATTTTTTCCAGTGGCAGGAATTGAGTTCCAACTCTTTAGCCATTAATATACACTTCTATATGTGCTACTATTTCAATGTTCAAACTAAAATGACCTAGGGAAAATTAAAGAAGCAATAGTTTTTCCCACCAACTTTCTTAAAATATAAGTCCTATGAACCTTTAAGGTTATTTTCCAGCATATTAACACTATATATCTCTTTTTATTTGTTCTCTAAACCTTTGTTGATTATCATATCGAAGGTTTTTCAAGTATCAATCAGAGTCTCTTTGTTTATTATCATATCGAAAGTTTTTCGAGCATCAATCAGAGTCTCTTCTTCTTGCTTCTCTTTCTTTTTTTTTCGTGTAAGTCATCGAGGAACCAATTAATATCTCTCGATAACTATTGAATAAAAAACCGCATCAATAAAAATGAAAATCAGCAGTTGTTTTAGAAGAGAATCTATTCTTCATTAATAATACAGGCTAATGAAATACATAATCAAATTAGCCAAAAAAACTTCAACATCAGCACACTATGACTGCATCTACCACTCATCAGCAATGACCTAACCTAAGTTCTGTAGTTTGGAATAGTTCCCAATAGACAAATGGCTGGTCAATAAATGGCAGGTCACCATGACCATGAACCCTTGTGTCCTTAACTACCTATTTTAATTTTAGAGATGTAGACTGGGAAACAATTTCTTATTAAATGATGCGATTTATTAATTAAGCTGAATTAACTCTTCTGTTGAATATGGATTTTTTTTTTTAAATAAAGCTCTCACCAATGGTATGAAATTGACCATCAAAATCAGTTTGAATTATTCATGAATAGATGATTAACTATTTAAGGATTGGGAAAAAAAAAAGGCAAAATGAGAATCGGATAAGTCTAAGTTTAGTACGTCACGGTGGCTTCATTGATTTTTAGTAATTAATTATAAATTACCCGTTAAAAAAAAGAGTGGGTACGATACTGAGTTCATCGAGAATCATAAATTATGGTTTGATTGATTTTTAATTATTAATTATAAAAATAATATAATTTTTTTTTTATACAAGCTACATCGTCTAAACAGTGTATTTGTGCAGTACTCAAGATTAATATGTTCTAAATGGAATAGGCCTGCCAAGTGGCCCGACCCATGGGAGACAGGGAAGGAAGGGGTTACGGTGGATGAACATTTTGTCAGGCTAGTTCTTCTAAGCCTTCTATTGAGTACGAGGATAAAAGGCAAAATGGGCCTAGACCATGAGACTAATATAATTATGGGAAATTTGGAAGTCAGTCTCCTTATATGGACTTAATTGGATATAAGTTTGTTAAGAAAATTTATTTGGTTTTAAGTCTATTTTTTGTCAATTTTACTATTGTAATCATTCCTTATAGGCATGTTATAAACGACGTTTATGGATATAGTAACCAGTCATATACATCTCCTTCATAATCACCTTCAAATCTGGCTACAATCTTCCAAGTAATAATGTTTCTTTATCCGAAAAATAAGAAATCGACATTTACCAAAAATCGTACATATTCAAATTTCAAACTCATTACATTCCATAAAATACAATTTTAATTTACTATTCTAACTTACTTTGGACTCCATCGACAAAATATTAATATTAAATATTAATATTTAAAAAATAACAATAGTAACATACTCAACAAAAACAGTAACATAGTAAAAAAGTAATAACAATCAGGGATTTAATTCTGTCAAATTGGACATTAACCTTGTAACTAAGATTCAAGAGAATTTATACATTGATACTAAATTAAAGTGTTATCGATTTCAATTTTGTTGATTTTTTTATTGTGCAAAATAATCGAGTATTTTTTAGTTGTGTTACTGAGAAAAAAGTTCATGTTACTGTACGTGAACCGAAAAATAGAGTTCAAAATTTTGATATTTTAATGTTCATAATTGGTGTTGAGTGTCGTAATTTAACTGTCAACTGTGTGTTACTACTCGTCATTTTGTTAATTTTTAATTTGTGGATTGTATTTTCACTAAAATCATTTGAAAGTTGATGTTACTGTAAAAAAACTATTACCTTGTTTTTTGTAAAATTAGATGTGTTACTAAGCAGAAAGCTTTGATGTTACTGTGAATATTAAAGTGTATGTTACATAATATACGTTTCAAGGTTTGCAATTATATGTTAAAATTCATTATAGTAACATTAGTGTCAGTATAATAACAAAATTGTACTGGTAATATGATCTTAATTGTAACTTCAATCATATAGTAACATAAATATCATTATATATTAACATTCATATTACTGAACTCTGTTAACATTGTTCAGTCTCCCTATATTATGCATTACTATTGTTAAGGAAATTTTGCGATCTGATTTTGATTTAATAGACCAACAATTTATTTATACATTAAACTTCTCATATATAACTATCATAATATATAACTTTCATATAAAACTTTTGTTAATTATCATAATTTATATATATAATCAATCAAGATTTTCGTATATATTTCAATAATCTAACATATGTGACTTTTAATAATTTAGCAAAACTAACATCACTAGGGGTAATTTTGAGATTTAAAAAATAAGTTGACTTAAATATTTACATATAAGTTTAAACAAAAACTTACCCTCAATATAAGTTTTCTTTCAAAACTCAAGTCATTATAAGTCAATCTAGAAGGACTTACCCTCAATTTTTACTAAAATTGGATTTTAGGCCCAGTTCAGAGACTCAGTTTATAAACATAGACTAGGTCCAGAATCGCAGCTTAGACCTACCTGAAACATACAGACAAAGCCCACTACAGGATGAAGATAGCTTAGTCAGATTAGTCGCGCCATCTTGAGAGACTTGATCCAAAATTAACACACAAGGATATCTCCGTGGGACGTGCACGTTACCACCTCCACGTAGCTGTCTTGCTTGTTACAAGAATGATATCACCTTCATCGAACTACTTCACATGTTATAGGAAATGATGCCTCAATCTGTCAGGAAAATACCTATAAATTGTAAATCTCACTTACACAAGGGAGAATCTCTCACATATCACTCACATCTAAGCACCCTATCCTCATTAAACAATAAAACACTTAGGTGGTGTTTGGATGACAGGATATGGGAGGATTAGAGGGGGATTGGATTGAAATTGTGAATGTGGTCCATTTATCCTTGGTTTGGGTAATTCGATTGGGATAAGATTTTTGTTGGGTTTCAAACATCGGCTGTATGTTTTGAAGGCTACAATACCATCTGTATGTGATAAAGAAATCCCTTTTGCTGTGAGGGATTGTGAAATTGTGAAGTAGGATTACCTGTGTAAATTCTAAAATACCTTCCATAGTAAAATTGTAGGGTTTTTACCACCATTCCCTTCATTTTCCTGATCAGGCAGGTTATCAGACTGCTTAGCGCCATTATAATGGTCGATTCATCTCCTCATGAGGCGACTGCGATGGGCTAGTATCAGGCGGGGAATGCTTTCCAGATGCTGGGTAGTATCAGGTGACTGCTCAGCTCCCTTAGTCCGTCTGAAGCATTTGGACCTGTCTCCACAGTTTGCAAGGGAAGATGACCACTTTAAACAACTTCAAATCTAGTTAATGCGGTTGTGATTTGGTTTTTTTGCACTTTACCCTCGGTCATTATTTAAAATTTACTACATAACTCTGTTATAGTTTTGAAGTAAAATGATACTGTTATAAACTCTCTCATAATTGCCAAAAATGTAGCATGGAAGGTCATGATTTGAAAGTAAGTGTGTGAAAATATTCGGACTAACGAAATGGTTTGGGCCACATTAAAAATAATAATTGTTTTAGGGAGTTGCGTGTCATTACAAATATTAAATTTTATGATTTTAATATTTTTGCTTATCCTTTCCTTTCCTTATACAAAAAATGTAAAAAAAATTAACGGATTAATTAAAGCAACATAATTTAAATTGACATGATGTGTGCTAGTGCTTCGTTCAATAATATTAAAATGCCCTACCATTTTGCATAATAAATTATATTTTGGTCATTGAAAATATTAAATATGATTCGGATTAATTTTGTTCTTTATTGAAAATTAACAATTAAGTTTATTATTAAACACACAAGTTCGGATTTTCAACAAATAAACAAATAACGACTTAGACTTGAGTTGTATCGATATGTTATATGGTTTTTGTGTTGGAAATAAATTTTTTTTTATGATGCATATAATTTTTGTGATAAAAAGTGTACTGTACAAATTAAATGAAATAATTTTTACAAAATAAAAATATGCAATAGTGTATATAAATGCGTAATATATTTAATAATATTTTTGAATGTAAAATAGACAATACTAATGGATTGAATTTTTTTTTCATTCCATTCCAAACATGGTATAGGATTGGATCACATTGTTGTACACAAGGGTAAAATAGTCTTTTTTCTATGATTTATCTTCACATGTGAATGGAGCCCACAAACCAAATAAAACCTATCCAAACATGAGATAGTATTAGAATCTCATCTTTATAATCTTTCAATTCGGACTACTTTACATTAGATTGGATTGAGTTCGGATTCAAATTCAATCCAATCCAATCCAATCCTTTCACGGTGATTCAAACACCACCTTAGGTCATTGTAACCATTTATAGTGGAATAGGTCATTTTGACCGAACCATTTAATTGGTGTTTGTTTCTGTTGAGTCTTATTTTTAATTGTTACATTAAATATTTGACAGATGATGTATAGCACATTTTGTACATTTTCAGGTACTTAGATTTAAAATATTAATATTAATAGTTAATTTCATTAATTATTATTATTAATTAAATTAAAATTAATTACTTACTCAATGATTATGCTGAATGAAATCATTTAAATATTTTAAATCAGGATTTCTGTAATCACTATCAAGCTCGAAAAGTAGTCCAGTCAAAGCACAGACCAGATACGTACAGTCAAAGCAAAACCTGTCACGGTCAATTGCACAGCTGGCACCTTTTGTGAGAATATTGCTTAAAAGGGCCCCCAAGAAAGGCATATTCCCCATAACTTCTCTAATTTCCAAATTTTTCAGAATAAAAAATACTTATTGATATTCGGTATTTTGGATATTTCGAGATGTGCCCCTGCCCATTCCCCGGTCCTCCGGTGGGGATAATTTGGACTTTAGTGAAAAAAAGGGGCAGCCTTTTTTACTGCGTGCGGCACCTTGTCTCATCAAAAGACGAGTTTCTCCTTGATTTTTTTAGCGTTAATCCATGAAGAATTTATAATCTTTTTTCAGACCTAAAAAAGGGACCAAGTAGTAAGAATAGTAAAAAAATTGTAAGAATGAACTTAAAGGAATTTTTTAGATTAGTTATAATTTTTTTTTACTAGATATCGAAATATGATCAATATGTTCAAATTAGTTTAATGGTTGAATAAGCAAAGAGTCACAAATTGACACCAATTAAGTTTGAATTTTGTTGATATATAAAACTCGGGTTTTAATTAATACTCGTATTTTGTGATTCAGTGTGCATGTTCGAGATTTTGCATTGTAGCCATAAATTAAAATACGTAATTATAATGATTCTTTATGACAAAAAAATATCGATGATAATTTTTTCAACCAGATCTCACTCTAGGACTGAAGAGATGAAATAAATAAAAAATAATTAAGGTCAAATTCAAATTGTATTAATTTAACTTTGAAACTTCATAATAGAGTGGGTTTTAATTAATTTATTTTCTTATAACTCTTTCAATTCACCAATTTAGATAAATTACACTAAATTTTGTAATTTTCATACATCAAAACAATTGTAGCGTATTGGTTAAGTACGGAAATCATATTCAAAAAAATAATAAATAGAACTAAAAAAATTAAATTGTAGGTCTAGTTTATAGTATACATATAATTATTTTACAAAAGTATATAAATTTATTGGGTCGTCAGAAGTATTAGATAAAGATACCATGTGCATGTTCCATTTATTGTTTTAGAATTTTTGGGCATTGAATTTACACAAATGAAGCATATTTGTGAGTAGCAAAATTAGAAAAAAAAAACAAAAGAAGATATACTTGTATTTACGAAAAAGAACAAAATGGGAAAGAAAAGATAAGAAATGAGCTTTATCAAGGGTTTAAGTGTCATTTGAGTTTTCTTAAACAATGTTAAAATAGGAAAGTTAAACCGAAAGGTTACGGCGGCAGGTGATATTACAGCACCTGCGGTGCGCGAGCCGTGGGTTTAGTAACCGGCTGCAACCCGCTATCCGGTAACTGGATATTTTCAAAATAAAAATATTTCCATTTAGTTCCCTTTTAGTTTTCTAATTTTTCATGGAAGGGTCCTCCATTAACAACTGCCCCGAGAAAGAAGAACTCAGAAGAGGGAGACTTTGAACGGGATAGTCCTTTTCACTCCGCAGTCCTCTCTCTCTTGTGGTATGGCCTCAAATCTCTTTGACTCCTCAAATGTTTAGCCTTTTAGGTCTGGTTCTTAATAGCTCTGCTCAATTTCTTCTGTAGTTTGTTCTGTAGATCTTTGGTGAGTCTGATTTTTTTTTTTTGTTTATTTTAATATTTTCTATAGCCCTGCTGTAGGGTTGATGATTCAACCCTTTTGCAGGTTGAGTAGGAAGTGAACTTTGATTTTAGAGAAGAGCACTGATTGTATCCAATATGACGTGCATTATGATAGTGATGAGTCTTTTGACCACAAAAAGAGAAAGTCATATAAAGTGAGTGAGACAGAGTATTATTGCCTTCGAAAGAGAGTATTGTTGCCTTTGGTTGTCAATGAAGAGAGATACTTCGTGGAATGCTTATTCCTCCTCTATCCTTTTGCACACATTCGTTATGTAATGTGCTTTCTTGAAGGGTTTTGGGTGTGGATATTTCTCCAAGGCTCTGTGCCATTGGGTAGTTTTTGACTCACAAGGCTGCCAAAATGCCTATGTTTCAGCCTTCCAAGAGGGATGTGCTTGTTGGGTTTGAAGGTAGTGGTGATGGGCAAGTTCTGGATCTGGATACTGCAGTTAAAGATGGGGTTTTGGGTGGTGTCAGAGGCGGCAGTTTTGGCGGTGGAGTTGGAGAGAAATTGGATCTCAAGAAGATGATTGAAGAGCTTGATTTACCAGAAGTTCCATCGGTGTTTATTTGCCCCATTTCTCTTGAAACCATGCAAGATCCAGTAACCCTTTGCACTGGACAGACCTATGAAAGGTCCAACATTCTCAAATGGTTCAGCTTGGGGCATTACACTTGTCCCACTACAATGCAAGAGCTTTGGGATGAGGCGATTACGCCAAATAAGACCCTTTACCATTTAATTGATACTTGGTTTTCACAAAAGTACTTGCAAATGAAGAAGAGATCAGAAGATGTGCAGGGAAGGGCCTCGGAGCTTCTCGACACGCTGAAGAAGGTGAAGGGTCGGGCTAGAGTTCAAGCCCTGAAGGAGCTGCAGATAGTTGTAGCAGCTCATGCCACTGCTAGAAAAACTGTGATTGATGAAGGTGGGGTAGTTGTACTGTTATCTCTACTGGGTCCATTTACATCACATGCTGTTGGCTCTGAAGTTATTGCAATTCTTGTGAATTTGATCCTCGATTCAGAATCAAAGACAAATTTGATGCAACCTGCGAAGATTTCGTTAATGGTGGACATGTTGAATGAAGGATCAATTGAGACCAAAATCAATTGTATGCAGTTGATTGAAATCTTGATGGAGGAGAAGGATTTTCAATCAGAACTTGTCTCGAGCCATAGTTTATTGGTTGCTTTGATGAGGGCGGTGAGGGACAAGAGGCACCCAAATGGTAACTTACCCGGGCTTAGTCTACTCAAAACAATATGCTTACATAAGCATATCAGGAACTTAGTTGTGTGTATTGGAGCTGTCCCTCAATTGGTTGAATTGTTACCTGGTTTGAATCCTGATTGCTTGGAACAGGCCCTACTCATTTTGGATGGCCTGTCCTCTATACCGGAAGGGAGATTAGCTTTGAAGGATTGTTCAAATACTATACCTAATACGGTGAGACTAATAATGAGAGTTTCAGAAAGCTGTACACAATATGTTCTGTCAATCTTGTGGTCTGTATGCAAACTTTCCCCAGATGAATGTTCATCGATAGCTGTGGATGCGGGTCTTGCAGCAAAGCTCCTCCTCGTTATCCAGAGTGGTTGCAATCCAGTATTGAAACAGCGGTCTGCAGAGCTCTTGAAGCTTTGTAGTCTAAATTATTCAGATACGATCTTCATTTCCAAGTGCAAGCTTACGAGAACAATCCAATAAGTGTATTTTCTATGGTCTTTTCGACCAATTGGCTACCCCCTTTGTTACTCACAGGAAGGGGGTTGAAGAGAGCTACAATTTTGATCTCCTGTATATACTCAGAGGCTTCAATTCCAGCTATTGATTAAAAATGGGAAGACATAATGTGGACATAATCAACTGGTTTCCTGTAAAGTTCACTTTTCCACAGCCGGTGACTGGCTCCAAAGTTTTTCATTAAACCCCAGCAAGATAAAAGGGTTGTTAAACCTTTCTCTCTAAAGGATTTAATTTGTATATATGGGTATTGAAAGGTGGAATAGTTGTCTCGATGATGCTTGTTATAGGAATCTATGCTTGTTTCAGGTGGGGGCTTGCAATTTCAATTCTAATTGCCTGGTTCTATTTGGGTTTGCAGGGGCTCCCATTTTTTTTCTTCTTTTTGGCCCCCGGGAGGGGGGCTTTGGCCTTTGACATCAATTGAGTATGTCCAATGAAATTCACAGAACTACTTTTGAATGTCTCTATCATCTTCAGTATCATATCTGATGATATTAAAAATTATCCTAGGTTAAGCTTGACTCAGAAATTGCTCGGAGACATGCTCCCAAGTGGGGCCGAATGATGATGTCAGAATTTGGGTTCAATTTGAGACAACTAAGGTCGGATGAACAAGTTAAGGTCTCAATACCTAGCTGCCTAGCTTGTGACCTTAGCTCAGACCTCTTACAAAGATTATGCAAAGATCATGCTCTTACACATGATAAAGGATCGAATATTTATAAATTGACTCTCAAAGAGCATTATAATTGTTTTTTTCAAGCAATAGAAAACTATCTTATAATAGAATGGATTAATTAAGTTTCTAAGTTAATGAGTTATTATAAATCTCTTGTCTGTTGATTTATATTTTCTGCTATTATCTTTGTGTTTGTTTAACAATCAAAAGTCTGACTAGATATTCTAATAAATTTCATTAATGTCCTTTACGCCTCTTCAATTCATTTTTACTGTTTAAGCTCCAAACTCACCGCCTAAATTACACCACCACTCTCATTTGCACATACCAATTTTTGAGAATATGATTTTGTTGCCAGCGAGAAGTAGGTGGGGGGGCGAGGGGGAAAAAGAGAGAGAGAGAGACGCTGCAGGGTTGTTGCATCACTGGATGTGCTATTTTTGGAATGACCATTGACAACTATGTGAACATGGTGTACTTTGTCCATCTTTTTGCAGAAGTGCAAAAGTTTTGAGGACAGGTCTCCTTGTTACTTCAGAATCAATCAGTGCTGTCATGAAAAGAAAGAAAAGAAAGCTCAGAGCTTTTCCTGAATTGGAGCATTAAATTGCTATTTGTTATGAGTGGGACTTGACTACAAAACAAAAATTTTTAAGCTGTCATTCCTCAGTGCAAGCAATGCTTCTGCCCAAACATGTGAGCTGGAAATCGATATTTATCACTTTTATTCGTTATTAGTTAAAACTTACTGGCTAAATTAAATAAAAGTGAATTATCAAAAACAAAGCCATGCAAGTGGGGCTATAGGCCCATAAGCATGGTTGACACTGTGCTCAAGCTCGGTTCAGTTATGACTAACCAAGTTAGAGCTAATCATAGTTAAATAACATGAGTTAGATAGTTACTCAGAATAAACTTCATAAAAGCTTGTGAACATTCGACTCGAACTTTGACTTGAAGCTTAGATCAATTACTTACCAAAAAATATTTTTAAACAATTATATTTTCAAAAAAAAAAAATCATAAAGTCTGCATAAACAACAATAACATTAAATCCAAGAAATTTAAATCACCCTATTGGAAATAAGTTGTCAGATTTTATCTTTCAAATAAGAATTTATTTAACAGTTAAATTGGTATCATTTATGGATAAAAACTTATTTAAATGAAGTCGAGCGTAGTCAAATAGAATCAATCAGACACTATTCCAAGGAAAGAGGATTGATGATGCATAAAAGTGAATTTATACACAATTAACAGTCAAGTATATAATACAGAGTAATTAATAAAACAATGAATGATAAAAGACAGTGATTGGGTTAACACGAGCAATACACAGATTCATAGTGGTTTGGTTAAGACAACTTACTATACGTTGAAGGCGATGACGTGGCCGAAGAATTTTTATTAATAAAGTAGGAAGTGTGTAAGAGAGAACAAATGTAAACTCTACAAGAGGTTGAGTAGCTATGAAAGAGACAGTTGTGTAAAAAATGTGTAAAAATATGCTGAGGTGTGTAGAGATGTCCCTCTCATGTAGAGAGGGTTTACAATTTATAATCATAAAATCTTAGTTAAGGCGATTGCGTGAATGGATAGGTGACTAATCATTCAGAGTAGATAAGTACAGTTCATGATAGGTACAATTAGAAATAATTTTGATCTTCGAGTAGTGGATATCTCAGTAATAACTCCTCACATGCACTGATCTTCTGGGTCTCTTGAATTCTAAATTTGGCTAAATCTATACTTTGTAGTTAATTTGGGTTTTTCCCATTAATTGGGTCTGACCCAATTAGACCTGGGTTATCAAGAACAATGAAATTCGAACCTATGATCTTAAAGACTAACAACGATGACGATGACCATTAATCCTAACCCCTAACCTTTGCTTTGAACATGTTTGCATAAACTAAAATCAAGGTTTCAGCACAAGTTGAAGTAAATAACAGACTAAGGATTGTGACAGTGCCAAGCCATTACGTCTGTGCTTACAAAAGTAAAATTTGAATGGTTGCAACTTGGAGAAAGTGGGTAAATTATTAATCTTTGAATGATGGTCGATGTGGTTTGAAGCCTCCAAGTCACTTGGAGTAAGTCCTTTTTATTTATTTTATTAATTTATCAAGTTTAGTCCTCCATCTTCTTCATATTCTCTTAAATTAATAACAAACACAGAAGAATAAGTGCATAATTTACTATTCTTACACGTTGGTCTCTCCAAAACTGTGGTTCCCTCTGAATTTGAGCACTGCCTTTAATTAGAGCATATGTCCATGGGTGATGAGGCAGCTCGACTATAACTCAGCAACAGATCTAGATCTTTCTACAAGGTAAGTATTTGTTTGTTTTTCTATTAATGGCACTTGATGATGTATTTAGCACGATAGAGCTGAGATATGAAATTGATGAACACTGACTAATTCAGTCTGAGCTCTTAAATTTTTTTTAGATTTGAACTAGGGATTAGAAACTATCAAAAAGAATTTATAATAGTTTACTAGTTCGGGAACTCGAGTAATCCACTTTTAATGAAGTCTTTTGCTCCTGGAACTAATATTGTTAAGAAATCATATTACATAATGTTTATTCAAGCTATAGTGGCTTGTCTGTCTACTGTTGGGGGTTATGACCCTTATTTATAGTTGATCTTGAGTTTTGTTTGATCTTCAATGAGATCCTTACTCCTCCTTATAATGGTTGTCACTATCCCGCAATGGTTATGAAGGGTGTTGGAGTAGTTGCGACTCTTTTGCCTAGATGTTCAATCGTTACTATCTGGGTAGCATTTGGGTGGAAGCTAGCTGTCTTCTGTAATATCCTTCTTGAGACGCTGCTGCAGGGACAAGAGATTTGACCTCAAGTTTTATGGGCATCCAAAGCGGGCTGAACTTTCGATCTAGGAAAGCATGACCTTAATGACCGAGTTTATCTTTAAGCATATTTAAAGTATCATCAACACCTATTCAGCGAAAAAGAAGAACAATTATGATTAAATTCAGCTAGTATTTATAAAAACAAGAAATGAAAAGAACTTTGGCAAATCGACAATTTAGTATGAACACTAAATTTTACCATTTCTTTTTTTTTTTTAATACGAATTAAAATTTTTGGTTTCCTTTTTTATATTGTTCAATTGTCAGTGCACCATAATTCTTTTTATTCCTTTTTTTTTTTTGTAAAATCTAGCTTAATTTAATCCTATTTTCCTTCTTTTTTGGCTGAACAAATGGGCATTAAGACAGTGAAAGACTCACCCTTCTAAAATATCTAGATCCTGTTGAATTATAAGGGAACCACCTCCGCACTTCCAGTTAATGCAAATAGAACAAAGTAAACCTAACTAATCTAGACGAAGGTTAAGTGATAATAAGGATGAATTGTAAATTTAGATGTCCTGAATTTGAATTTTGACAATTTTTTGGTCTCAAACAATAAAAGATTTATCCTTTATAAATATATGTTGCTCTAAAATTTCAATCGACAGATAACTCTCAAGCGATTGCTTGTGGAAGTTCAATTACCTTGTTTTCAGGATTTCTTTGAATGAAAATTTAAAGTGACGAACATACAGAATAATGAATTAATAAAAGTGAATTATTTTACTAATCCAATCGAATGAGTTTCAGTTACAAAGAGAATGAATTAAAGTTTTTGATTACAACACTAATTACTTTTTAAAATTAAGTTTAGTACTACTCTTAAATGTCCTACTCACATGTGTTTTGGAGGGGGGGTTGAGTTAACTTCCTTCTTCTTCATCTTTTATAACTATTACCTTCGACGATTTTTCCTCTCTATTGACTTGTAACTCCGAAGCCGTTACTCTTTTTTTCAAACATGATTATGATTGTCATCTCTCTTCTTTCTCTAGAATTTGACGCATGACAGCCTCTTAACTTGTCAGATGTCAATGCATCAAATATTCTTATAATTTTATATTTGAAATCTAAATAATATGTTAATCTCGACATGAATAATTTGTTTTTAATCAGATTAAGAAAAAGATTAATCAAATATATATATATACTGGCCCAAACATCAGTGACCATTGAACCAAAAAAAATGAAGAGCAAACTTAACCAATGAGAGACTTCAACATAAAAATAGACTTTCCAAATTTTTTATGCCAAATCTCTATACTAGTGGCACTCTCTTATTTATGAGGGAGGATTGTGTCACATCACTTGAAAAAAAATTTGATAAAAAAATTTGGTGAATATCACAAAAGTCGAAACTTTGATCATATTTTCTCTATTGTTATTTACTAACGGTGTGTTTCATTTAATATTGGGATTCAAGTTAATTTAATTTTCACATGGTATTAAATTTTCAAATAAGTTTGACAAGATTGCTGTAATGATATCATGATTTTTTTTTTTTTTTTGATAACTAGAAATTTCTGTAAAATAATGCGATATTAAATTATTTTTATAGATTAAATCTCAAATAATTACAAATATCCGTTAATCACAAATTTTACTCAAAAAGTCTAAATTAAAAATTCGCTGAAACTCCACCCTCACATCACATCACAAAAATGGACTATTCGTGCCGGTTACGATATAACCTACTCGCTAGCATGACAAAAACGTAAAATACTCATGGAAGGCTCTTGGCCAGGGCAGCAGCAAAGTCAAATCAAGTGAAGACTAGCCCGCCAGAACTCCATGATTAAAGGGTGGTGACGGCAGCATCAACCCAATAATTCAAGTGGCTGCTTCTTTTCTGAATTCTGACCAACATGGCTTTAATTTGGGAAATTCTATGGTATCTAAAAAAAATAAATAAAATAAATTTGATATCGGTATTTTCGATTATTACTTTATATAATAAAATTACAATTTTAAAAAGAGAGACAGGTTTTATTCAATTATAGACACCGATAATTAATCATAAAAAATGCAGTATTAATCTCAATATTCCACAATCGATCATGTCTTTTAAAATTATAATTTACACCTTAAAAAATTATAATTCAACCTTAAAAATTAATAATTTTGTAAATAGAAATTCTATTTAATTTAAGTACCATCTTTGTTGTCAAAATTGAAATCTCTTTTGTGATGTGTGTTTCAAAATTTGTATCGAACGTAAACGTAACTTAAATATTAATAGAAATTTAGATATTATTAGTTTAACTTTTGATTATTTATTAAAGTTAAATTATAAAAAAATTATCTCTTACGAATATTATAGTTTTAGCATAAATAATTTATTTTGGATTAAATCAAAAAAAAATAATAATTAAAAAATACATAAATTAATTCAAATATATTTTATTGTTAAACTAATAAAAATAAAACTTGTGTCTCCTCTTCATCCGCCAAAAATCTAAGTAAAAAGGAAAAGCACACAGAAAAATCAAAGAATGGAGGGACAGGGAGTAGATCAGGCTGACGTCTGGCGGCTAGCCTCCACAGGAAGAAGTGCCCAATTTTTTTTTTAATCGGAAAAAGTCTTTTCATTCAAACAGAAGAAATATTACAATCAGAATTGAAAAAAGTCTTTAGCTCTCTCTCTCTCTCTCTCGGTGGAGTAAATGTGGGTGCAATGGTGACATTTAAGTCTTTATTGATATTTAGTACTACTTCCGTTTTTAAATA